AATGAGAAATACTTTGCATATCAGAATTTGCAGATATTTCAAATGAAATTGACAAGGTAAAGCTCCTCATTCCTGTTAAAACAGTTTACGGATATTTATTTTTTCTTTTATCAGATATTAAGTCACAAAAAATCTTTGAATCCGTTAAACTGTTGAAATACGTTCCAAATACCTCATCAAAACATTCAGATAAAACAATGCCCACGATTATTTGAAAATTGCATGAGAGCCAAATTCATTTTTTTCACATTTTATATAAAAATCAAATTTGCTTTTCATATATTTTACGAGGCTAACATCGTATTATAGGATAGACCACAACAGAAATAGGTCAAATCTTTACATATATGAAAAGACATATTATTTATTTATTTATATTTTTTTATCACCAGATAAATCAAATATAAAACTCATGAAATTTTATATTATAAAATACTAGTGAGAAATAAACTCACCTCTGGTGGTCACGACTTTCTCAAACTATTATTCTTCTGAATATCAACCAGAACCTATAATGTAAGATATATGACTAATTATTAATTCAGAACAAACATATATTATAGGTAAATCAATTCATAATCTAGAGTCTAATAAATTCAGATGTAATCAATAATAATTAAATTCTACAGTACATATGATCTTATTATTAACTTTAGCAATTTATCAAAATGTTATAACTCTCATATACTAGCTTTTTGGATTTGTTAGTAATTTATGATAAGACAGGGGGTTATAGGGAACTAATCAAGCCTATAGTTATCTTTTATTCTTCAAATTGGACTTGTTTGCAAATAGAGTAATTGATAGGGGTCTATATGTAATTATTCTATTCATATATGATTTTAGCTTCCTCTGTTAGGGTTTACTTACAAAATTTTGTGGCTTTTAAGGACTTAGAATGAATTCTTAGATCATAAATTTCTATTCTCCACTCAAGAGGGTTTTATAAGCAAAGTCAAAAATAACTAAGGGTCTTTTTATAAAATTTCCTCCTTAATATTAATCTAACTGATCATCTTTCTCCTACTTTCTTCGTTCTCTTCTTTTTTTTTTCTTTTTTTTCTTCTTTTTTTCCTCCTCTTTTCTCCTCCTCCGTTCTTCTCTTTTTTTTCGGTTGAGGCATCTCCCTTCCTCTCTCTCTCTCTCTCTCTCTCTCTCTCTCTCCCCCCCCCCCTCTCTCTCTCTCTCTCTCTCTCTCTCTCTCTCTCTCTCTCTCTCTCTCTCTCTCTTCCGCTCTTGCCATGGCTGCAGGACGGCGACGAGGAAACCACCGGCGACCAAGAGCGACCGACGACGAGGTCCTTGCCGGATCTAGGGTTAGTTTATTTTCTTTTTTCTTTTTTTTGTCAGTTTGTTTCATGTATCCTAAACACACAAAAGAAAAGTCCTTTTGCAAACCCTAGATTCTTTTTAAGTTCATATTCATAACAGTTTAATTCCCTTATTCATTCTATCTTGATTGATTTACTAAGATCTCTATAACAACTTTACTCTTCTAAATCAAGAAATCAACAAAGGGAAGGGTTTATACCTTTGGGTTAACTTGAATTTTAGATGAAAAATCCCCTCTTTTCCTTTCTCGTTCACTGTTTCCTTCCTCTTCTTCTTCTCTCTTTTGTTTTTGTGGGTTTTATTTGATTTTTTTTCCTCTGTTTCATTCCTCCATCTCCTAATTTTTTTCTGGTTTAAAAGAGAAAGTGGGATGTGAGATACAGAGGAACTATTGGTATAGGTGGCTAGGGATTTCGTAGGGTTGATTTCATGGATTAACAAAAGATGAACACGTCACTTATAGGACTCTCTAAGAACTCTAAACGAGACAGCTCAAGCTGTAAGCTTCTCTCTCTCTCTCTCTCTCTCTCTCTCTCTCTCTTTATTTCTATTTTATATCATTTTATTTTTTATATATTATCATTTTTTTATATGTTTTTTTCCTGGGCTATTACACCCCAACTGTAGGACCATCACTTATTACATTGATGACTCCTTTATGAGTAGTCTCCGGAGGTCGCTCGCCTATTTGAGGTCGAGGCCGAGGTGATCGCGAGCTGGATCTTCTATCATTCTTGGTTGGGGCATTATCCCTGCGATCTCTTCGGAAAGTAAGATTTCTCAAGTATCCTCTCTCAATCAAATCCTCTATATCCCTTTTGAGGATTCGACAATCATTGGTAAGGTGTCCGTGATCCCGATGGTAACGAAAAAATTGCTTGGTATCCCTACTAATAGGATCTGATGACATCTTGGGTGCAAGGTCTTTGAGATATACTTCCCTCTGGACCATAGACAAGGCATTAGTAAGTGAGGTGTCTAAGATGGCTAGAGACTCCTTTAGTGTCGGATTTCTCGGCTGATTCCTCCTGTCTGATTGATTAGGACGGGAGTTGGTCCTTGGAGGATTCTTATGTCATCCTAGCCTCGGAGGACTCCTGATAAGTTCAGAGGGCAGAATTACCACTTGCGCTGCTCGAGGGTTTGATGAAACGATCACGGTTGTTGGCGTTACTGAAGTCGTGGCAACGGGAATCTCCGTGCTCCTTGCTGAGGCCTTGTAAGCCCGGACGTCCTCCATGTTCATGTATCCATGGGCTTTGGCCATCAATTGCTCATAATTGACGACTGACTTCTTAGAAAGTGAGTCGGCCAACTCATTGCTCTGCAAACCGACGACGAGTGCCGACATGGCGACTGTGCTTCCATGGTCGTTGACTTCCAATCTCTTACCTTGGAACCTCTTGCAGTAGGCCCGGAGGCTCTCCTCCGGCCCTTGCCTCATTTGGATCAGCACATGAGGGGGGAGCTTCTGCTTGGTGTCCGCTAGGAAGTGGTGGATGAACGTTCGACTAAGCTGTCGAAAATTATTGATGGATTTCCTACCCAAAGCGTTCCACCAAAGTTTAGCACTTCCTGTAAGGGTGATAGGGAAACATCGACAAAGGATTGCTTCAGAAACTTGGAGCATACTCATTATGTCGAAATAGTTTTGGACATGCTCAGAAGGATCTCCTTCACCCGAGTATGTCCCTAAGTGGGGCATTTTAAACCTTTCGAACGGGCATTCCATTATCTCGTCTGAGAGTGGAGTGTTCCCTCCAATTGCATCAGCAATCGTCTTGTATACTCGATCGTAGGCGGAAGCTCTTGCAGTAGTAGATGAGGATGGGAAAGCGCGATGGTGGGGCGCCTTGAAGCTTGTTCCTTCGGCACGCCCCCCTGAATGACTAGGTACATGACTTTCATCATAGGTCTTTAGATAAGGACGGCAAAGCCGTTCCTGTTGAGATGAGACGCTCAATTGCTTGAGACGGCTCTCCGTTTGCTTAGGGGGATTATGAGGAGTTCGCGGTGAGACGTCCCGTTGCTGGGAAGGAGGTGCTCCTGATCGTCGGTCTCCAATGGGTGGAGGTGGTGCAGTAGCATAGCGCGACACTCAGATTCACCATAGAATCTCGCTAATCAAGATGGCAATTTGCTCTTTAAGTGATAGGGAGAGCTGGTTCTCCGCTTGTTCTAATTGATCCCGAGTAACATAGTTAGGCGATTGTCTTTGAGATTGAGACTACTCAGATCCTATATCGGAACCTAGCATTTTTCTCAAAAAAAAAAGAAAAAGAAAAGAGGCCTCACGGTGGGCGCCAAACTGTTGATGTTTAATATCACACAGCCAAATAAAGTCACAGAGTTTGCAAAGGGGTCACTTTCTTCTTCGACTTTATGCCTAATTCTGGAATTAGGATGACCGAGCAATTTGCACACAAAGAGTCGTAAGAGGGCGGGGATGAGTTCTCCCGTGGTACCTCCAACGATCAAGTCAGTTGATGAACTTGAGTTTGAGTGGAGTCAAAGAAGAACTATGTATTCTTGTCTTTGTGTCATGTGTGCTTTTGGGGTTTTAGATTACGAACCTTTGGCTATGGAGAATAGCATCTGTATTTATAGAGGATGCCAATGACAGATTGGTCATTTCATGAGAGTACAGTAAGACGGTGGTAAGGCGGTGGTGAGGGGTGAGCTGGAATGTTGAGTCATCCTTTACTTTACGCGTGCTGATTTGTGAGTGGCGGGAGGTCACCTCGACAACATTGGGAGCCAGCCGCCGACGAGTCTTCAAGACTGTTGAGGATGGAGACATAATAATGATCATCAAAGATTAAACAATGTTGAGAAGTGACACCTATGCTGATAGGTTTGAGATAAGGATAATCTTTTAGCTTCGTCGAGAAGCAAGGCCTATAATGTCACATCTTCGAGTTGCTGACTCTCGTGTCGACTGACATCACCTTTCGCGTCGACTTAGGAGTGTCAACCTGTCCGACGGATCGGAATGTCGTCTCGTCCCAGCTAACAATCGTCTCTCGAGTCGATATAAAGATGTCGACTCGTCTGGGAGGTCAGGATCTCTCATGTCGATTGTCACCGCATCTCGCGCCGACACTGGGGTGTCAGCTTGTTGGGCTGGTCGAGATGCTGACTCATCAAATCATATATTCGTGGAACAAATATACCTCATAACAATAACTACTAAAGTTAAATGGGTAAATGGACGGTCCGTTTATTAAATGGACGGGCAAAACCCGTCCATTTAGAAAATGTTAAATGAGCCATAAATAGGTAAATGAGCAAAACATGCCTACCCATTTATAGCACGTCCATTTTATACCCAAACCCACCCATTTAACATCCTTACTCTTATGCATGGTCTTCCGCAACCAATTAACCCTCCAAATAAACACACATCTTCGCAAATCTGAGGAAAACGTGAAGAATTGCCATTTTATGAGCTTGTAATTAAGGCCCGTTGAAGTCCTCGAATAAAGGCAACTGACCCCGCCTTCGCTTGGATACTCAATGCAGCCGATCTGTAGATTGGGGTTCTCTGATTGACAGTTTTCTAAGATTTTCATGGCGATGCTGCTTTTTCAAACAATATTGGCTACCTTTAGATTTTTGTGATAGCTCGCTTTACGGACCAATTTCTTCGCGCTGGTTAACAAGCATGATGGAATAGGAACCCTCAAAGTTTCAATTCGTTTATTTTAAAGTGACAATACACGCTCATTACACAAGATTTCCAGGACATACACATAATCTAAGTTTTATTTAGGTGATCTCCCAAAAATGGGGGTTTCCTGCTTTACATACAAGCTGTTTAGTGTTTGAGTCGATCAACATACTAAACTTAGTTGGAGAGAGACACGTACACAGCTCTCGGGGGTTTCCCTGCACGTCTTGCATGCTGCACCGCAAGATTATCAACCAACAATACATCGCCCTTTCGCCACCCAACATCAACAGAATTCTCGGCCAAAATCTCATTCATTGCATCGATGACGTCCGATGGAAGAGGCTCTCCATCACCAAAGCTCACATACTGACCTCTTTCTGCAGTCTCGTACGGCAATATATTGTTGAACATGATTCTCTTTCCATTTATATCTCTTATGGGATTCATCGGTCCAAAGACAAAATCAGCTGAGCCATCATCCTTGAAGTTTGCAGAGTTGATCGCCAGCATCTGCATTGCCCTGCAGAAAAAGAGTGGGGGAAAAGCCAAAGCAAATATTCAGAACTTAAGCATAAATTTATGTTATGCGTCGTTGACAATTATGGATCCGTGGAATATATACTTTTCAATCGTTAGTTGTATGTTTTATGTCATTAATTTGTTCTTATGATTGATTTGCTAGCATTACCTCTTCTCTGCCTCTAACTGATCCTGAGTTTTGAGCATCCGTTGCCAGACAAATGAGCCCTTTGTCGAATCTGAACCGTCGATCTTGAATGCAGCTCTTGTATGTAGAACGATCTTGACTCCATCCTGTTCAAATTTTTTAACGGCTTCTGGTTTTTTCTCTTGAAGCTTCTCAACGATGACGTTGCTTGGGATGATTGAGGTCTGTCCACCCTCTGGTGGGGCTGTCATACAGAAGAATATGATCTTCGGAGGATATGTTCGAATCTGTGATTAAAAAAAAAAAAAACTTCACTGATTACTTTGTCAACAAATTTTTTAGTGAAAAATATTTGAGTTGCATGTAGAGAGGTGAGCAGTAAATCTTTTCAAACCGATTAAATTGACCAAACCTACAAAATTTTACTGTTTTGTTCTGTTTTAGAATTTGTTGCGCTCGGTTCGGTTCGAGAAAATTTTAACCCGAGCTAACAATTCTTATTACTATAATAATAGGTAAGAAGTTTTCTTTTTTTCGTTGAACTTAATAAATGAGGGGGTTTCTTAAAAGAGTTGGGTACAGATGAAGGGGGTTTCTTGTAATTTATCCAAAAGAGTTTTTTGAATTTGAATTAAGCAACACTTCATATACGTACATGTCCGTCTTAATTAGATTTACATCAAACTATACGATTGAGAACATTAGATTAAACATGTATGCTTGTTTAGCGAGTTTTCTAAATCACTCGCTAAAGCTGCAAACATTCACTTGGTACGAGTTCGATGCCCAATTTTTAGCTCGAGTAATATTGTTCCGCAATAAATTTAACCCTCGGCCGTCGGTTTAATTTAACAATCCAGAAAGAACATCTAAAATGGTAGCACAACAATCCAGGTTCAAACTCACATTAATAACTACCTACGAATTTAAAGCGGATTTAATAAGAAAAGGGGTCAACTCGTGAGTCCTAAGTTCAAGAGTATATAACAAGGAAAAGGCCAATAAATGGGGGCACACGCAGACCTGGGCCATCTCATGGTGAAACGGGATGTTGATATCCAACGGAACGGCGTTCGCGGTGTAAACCCGATCCGCAAGCTTGATCCGATCCGCTGGGCCGTTGTAGCTGAACTCCTCGGACCCCAAGGAGTTGACGACGCGGGAGAAATCCTCGGCGGACCCCACGTCAAAACCCCTAAAGAGCACAGCACCGTGCTCCGCAAGTGCTTTGGAGATCAGCTCCCTCTCGGCCTTCACCGCCTCCACCAGATCACTCAAGCCGGACTTGCCAGCTTCAGAAGGGACGAGTGTTTTCGGGAACACTTTCCCTTGGAAGAGCTTCTCCTCTGCAATGTGCCCTTCAGTGAACCCCATTTCCTCCTCTCTCTCTCTTTCTCTGTATGCGGTCTCCACCTCTTTTAATGCCTTCCTAATTATTAAGATTGAGCTGGGAGGCTGGGGGTTTATTTACATATAGAGGGGGCGGGCGGTGGTTGGTTGTTGGATTTTTATTTTTTTATTTTTTAATTATTTTTTTAAGGAGAATGATTGAAAAATTGGCGCTAAATTTAATTTTGAAAGGGAGATTGGTGCTTGGTAGGTTCCAGTGAACGTATGTTCTCTCTCTTATTGTAAGTCGGGGTGGGTTCAATTCAATGATTGAGGATGGGAAGAAATTGGCAGCAGCTCTGGTAGTTGTAGTTATTTATTACTCATTGTCACTAAATGAGTACAATGGCACAAATTCTAACGTAACTGTGAACGTGGGGGCCACACCTACGAGCGCATAGGCAAAGCAACACGAGCGTGGGTGCGGAGGCAAAGCACGTGGGGGCCACACCCACGAGCGCGGAGGCAAAGGCAGAGGCCAAGTGCGGGTGCGGCCCACCCAAGATATTTCCAAGATCTCCTATAAATACCCACGCGACGGCTATGGTTTTTGCAGGGGGAGAAAACAGACGTGTAGGATTTTTTGACGGCTGTTTACAGAGTTTTTGGCGGCTGTTTAGAGAGAAAAACAGAGATCTAAAAGGTGAGATCTTGAGAGAGAAAAAAGGAGAGGCCTTTCAGAGATTTTACAGAGAGGTAAATCCCTTTTGGGTAAAAATCAGAGTTTATTCTTTGGGACGAGCTTGTGGGTTGTACAAGTCGTCGGTGTTCTCCTTCATATTGGAATCTCCCCTCCCCCTTCCCCGTGGACGTAGGCAAGTTTACCGAACCACGTAAATCTTATGTCTTTACTATTTTCTGGGTGTTAGCTATTGCTTGTAGGTTCCCTCGACAAGTCAGGCCTAAAACTAAGAGTGTATATTTCAATTTGTTGAGATATTTCACTTTCTGTAATTGTTTCCTTTGTAAAACGAGAATATAGAGGTTGACTTGAACTTTTGTGACAACAAAAGTCAGGGCTTTCTCTCGGGTGATATCGCTTCCGCGGTGTGAGGGCATGTCTCTGCCCCCATCAATTAGTATCAGAGCTATTATTCAAATTAGGAGTGGTGTAGCTTCTGATTTGACGTGGTGCTCGGCAATTTCCTGAGAGAAGCGGATTTATTAATACAAGCGGAGGATGGCGCCAACTAGCAAAATAGTTAAAGTTGGAAAGTACGAGATCAAAAAGTTTAATGGGAAGAATGATTTTCCCTGTTGGAGGATGCAGATGAAAAACTCGTTGCTTTCGCAAAAATTACACAAGGTTTTGGCTGGAAAAGAGAAGAAGCACAAGGATATGTATGATGAGGATTGGGAGGAGCTGGATCTGGAAGCACGGGCATCGATTATCCTTCGGATGTAGCTTTCTTAGTAGATGGAGAGAAAACGGCTAGGGGCGTGTGGTCGAAGTTAGAAAACACCTTCATGACGAAAAGTCTAACGAACCGGATCTATTTAAAATCTAAATTGTATACTTACAAGATGGAGGAGGGCTCATAAATCCGGGAATACATCAACAAGTTTGATAGGATCATATCAGACTTAAAAGACATAGACGTGACAGTTGAAGACGAGGATCAGGCACTTCTACTACTTCTATCTCCGCCGAAGTCTTATGAGAACCTGGTGTAAACACTGATGCTTGTGGGAGACAATTTGACGATGAATGAGACTAGAACGACGCTTCGAGTGGATGACCTTCGAAAGATTGTAACTAGTGATATGACTATTGGTGATAGCAAAGAACAAGCGTAGGGATTGTTTGCTAGAGGAATGAGCAATTAGCGAGGAAAAGACAATGGAGGAAAGTCTAGATCTAAATCAAGACCTCTTGCGCGTGTTTCACATGCGGTGAAGTTGGGCATTTTAAGGACAACTGTCCAAATAAGAGAGTAGGTGGGAAGAAGAACAACAACAAGACTGAGAGGAGAAAAGGAAAGGAAGAAGCGAGCTATGTTTCAGAGGAAGGGAGCGAGATGGAATGCTATGTCGTCATGGGTGGCGAGGATTTCTCCGGGAAGTGGATTCTTAATTCAAGTTGCTCTTACCACATGTGCACAAATAGAAAGTGGTTTACTACCTACAAAAACATTGATGGTGGAACCGTACTGATGGGGAATAACCATGCTTGTAAAACGGTAGGGCTAGATGATATCAAGATCAAGATGCATGATGGAGTGGTCCGAACCTTAACGAATGTGAGACATGTTCCCGACTTGCGGAAGAATTTTATCTCAGTTGGTGCATTGGACTCCGGTGATTGCAGGATTGTTACAGAGAACGGAGTGAAGAAGGTTGATCGGGGTTCCCTTATAGTGATGAAGGGTGTTCTTCTAGGTAATTTATGTACTCTCTCAGGTACGACGGTGACGGGAGATGCAACGGTTAGAACTGAAGGAAGTGGTGAAGACCTATGTGAGCACACACGGTTATAGCATAGGCGGCTTGGGCACATGTCAGAGAAGGGTCTAGTTCTGCTTGGTAAGGAGAGTTTTCTGAAGAATCTGAAGAAACCTTGCATAGATTTTTGCGAGGATTGTGTGTACGGAAAGGTGCACAGGGTTTAGTTTTTGAGAAGCAAGCACAAGAGTAGAGGTATATTAGACTATGTGCATACAGACGTTTGGGGTGTGGCTCAAACAACTTCCAAGGATAGTTTAAGGTATTTTGTCTCGTTCATAGATGATCATTCGAGGTATGCTTGGATTTATTTTCTTAAGCATAAGAATGAGCTATTCGAAATATTCAAGAAGTGGAAAGCAATGATTGAGAACATAACAGACAAGAAATTAAAGACACTAAGATCTGATAACGGTACAGAGTATATGTTGGGTCCTTTTGTTTTGATGATGATTAACAAACAATTAACAACTAATGTTATTTGTCTAGTGTTTATGTTTTGTATTTATTCTAGACAAACAATATGTTGGAGGATGGATGGAATCGAGCATTCACGATCATATCCAATGGAGGTTGGCAGAATAGTGGAATGAATCAATGCTATTCAAGTTAAAGATTCTAGTTCCCGCTTCATCTGCAAGTTTACCAAGATAGAGCTTCGTTGAAGATCACAAGTTTGGGTATATTTAGTTTAGGTTTTTATATTATGTGTGTTAGTACTTTAAGCTCAATCACATACACACACAATATACATGTTTCATATTTATCATTTTGTTAAATGCATATTGTGCAAAACTTTATTTTTGCATAATATTAAGTTTTTGATTTATAGACTTAACAACAATAGTTCATATCTTTAATCAAGTCTATAAAATTATTTTACAAAGTTTCAAAACTTGGTTTATGTCAAAACATCAAAACTCAAGTATCTCATGTTTTCATGTTTTGGACATTTTTGCAAAATGATGATATTTTACAAATAGGAGATGATTTTTGAAAACCAGTTTTTGTAACATGTGTATTATCATGTCTACAATCATTTCCCAAAGTTTTATATTTTTAGAATTTGTTTGCTATTTTTAAAAGCAGTTTAAAAATTAGATTTCTACTTTAAACAGGCTGTATACTTGTTATTAGTCGACTGGTCAGTTGACTAATGCAATCAGTCGACCGATCAGTCGACTGATGAAAGTGCCTGTAGTTGTCAAAAGTTTTTGTTTTGTTTTGGTGGACTGACCAGTCGACTGATGAGGTCATTAGTTGACTGATAAGGTCCGTCAGTTGACTGATGAGCTGGAAAATGCCTCTAATGGTCAGCTCATCAGTCGACTGATGAAAGCCGTCAGTCGACTGATGCTGTAACGGCTAGTTTTTTCAGCCTTTTACAGATTTGGGTTTTTGGTCTTTTTGTCTTATTTTCTCTTATCTTTGAGGTTCCTATAAATACCCCCACACATCCTCAGTTTTATTTATCAAAGAGAATGTTTTAAAAAAAGTTTTACATGGGTTTAAGTTTTTGTTTAAGTATGTTTAGAAGTTTGGTTTGTGAAGAAACTTTCACAAGAGCTTGAGGAGATCATCCATTGGTGTTTGAGCATTCAACTCTTCTCCCTCTCTCTTGTTATCATATAGAGAAGTTTTTCTAAACTCTTATCTAGCTATTTATTTATTTGTTTTCTATTTCCTTAAAGCTAGATTTATTTGAGTTTAGTTTGTTTTATTAAATCTCATTGTTACACACACCCACTTGAGCTTTTAGTATTTTCATACATAGTATATTTTGGGGTGTGAGAGATTGTAACCTTAAGTTATGCTTAATTGAGTTCTCCCATTATTTAGAGAATAATCATTTAATTTGTAAGCTTTAATTATGAGGATTCACTTTGTAATATACTAGTACACCAAGAGGAGTGTGTGATGATAGATGGGGTCATCCCAAGAGGAGTGGGGTAGGTGGTAATGCCTAGAGAGAGGTTGTAATTCCTAACACTTAAGGGAGACACATGCTAGAGACCAACACTTGAGGTGGTAGTTAGTGTAGTTATATTGTGAGATTGTGAACGTTGATCGGTGAGCGTTGAAAACCGATATTGTGTGAAAACCCGGTGTGATAGTGGATTTCTCCCAGGGAGTAGGGAGCGAAAACGTAGGACGGAAGGTCCGAACTCCGTGATCATTTCTTGTGTGTTTGAGTTTTTCTTGTGCACTTATATCTTGCTTATCTCTATCGCCATTCTCTTTTGTATAATTCATCCACTATATCGTTTGTATTTGTTTATCTTGTTTCACCCTTGTTTATATTGCTTATCCTTGTATATATATCTTATTGCATATCATTCTTGCTAGGATATTTATTAATTAGTTTTAAATTGGCATAAATTAGATTAGATTAGCACAAACCCTATTCACCCCCCTCTAGGGTTCTTTCCTAGTAGCATTAGGGTGCTTTGAGTATACAGATGGTGCTTTCAAGGAGTTCTGTGATCAGGAGGGTATTGCTCGACACTAGACAGTCAGGTCTACACCACAGCAGAATAGAGTTGCAGAGAGACTGAACCGTACATTGCGGGAGAAAGTAATGAGTACGCGATCATATGCTGGTTTGGACAAAGAATGGTTGA